ACACTCTTGGCCCTCTTTGTCTGTGAACACAGAGAGGCGGTAGTCAGGGAGGGAGTCCTGAAGTTTCCGAACTTCGTCTATGCCACAGGGTTTGTCTGGATCAATCTGCGCATTTTCACACAATTTCTTTGCACTGTCCCGCTGAATGACAGAGTTAGGTTTTTTCAGCTTGTAGAACGCCTGTTTGTTCATCCCCCCGTGGGCCATGAGCACCGCGACGCAACGCGTCAAACACCTATTATCTGTGTTTTCAGGAGAGTAGATGGATCCCTTTGAAATTTTTCTTTGAATCCAAACCTCAGTTGTCTCATTAGCGACACGCTCAACACGGCGCCCTCCCGCCTCGGGTGTGCGGACGTGGATATAGCTCACTTTGAGCTGACCATTAGCCATGAATGCCTGATTAGAGTTCAAGACTCGCGCCAGTTTGTCTAGAATGACGCGCCCATTCAGTTGGTCGACGCGCCGCATGCTGAACCAGAGCGGGTTATCGACATTCTCCGAGTTCTCTATCTCCACGATGACGCGGTCATCGTCTTTGGCATTGACGGCCTCGCGCTGCCTCTGCAGCACCGTGTCAAACAGCCCCTCCATAATTTGTTCGGAAGGCAAAGTGTCGCCCAGACCACTTATCCGCATGATTTCCTCCCGAAACTTAGTTTTGAACCTTTTCAGTTCGCGCTCCCGGCTTTGGAGCACTTCCAGAGTCGGCTGGACCTCCTCCTCCTCGTCCTCCTCCTCCCGGGGACGCTTGGCGTCCTCGGCCGGTTGGGAAGGGCCTGGTTGAGGTGAAGGTGGCCGTGGCGTCTCTGCTGGTGGCGATGCAGAGCGCCCCTCAGGTGCGGTGGGCTCCGCAGACCCCTGCCCGACCATGGCCAGAGCCATACGGTAAGTCCGTACGACGTGCGGGTCAGTGTGCTCCCGCATGTAGGCAGAATGCCCTACATTCAAGAATGGCGCGATCCTTGGATCGGCCCTGTCTGCTGGACTTGCGTCCACCTGAGCAAGCAGCATCTCCGAGTAGGCTTCGGAGAGAAGCTCATCGGTGTAAAAACACCCTCCCTCCCACTCATCCAGAATATCTCCAACTAGCGACGACATATCAGCGAAGTGCACGAAGAAAGACTTGTGACTGTAGTGATACCGCTCCGGAGCGCGGGGGTCAATTTATACGGCCGACGGCGGCGCCCGCAGCGCCACCCCGCGGCACCTATCGGCCGCGGTCAGAACTACTGCCCCGGCTCGGCTCCGCTCGGCTCCGCTCGGCAGGCCCGGCTGGGCATGCGCGACTCGGCTCGTCACTGAGTATCCCCCCGCATCCCCCAGTATCCCCCACTGAGGCTCCCCCGCAGGCTCGGCTCCGCCCGGCTGGCCGTGCGCGACTCGACTCGTCACGCCACTGCCTGTTACTGGCGGTACCGCAAAAGTTACAGCTGTAGTTCCGCTAGACGCCGCGAGAGCGCAGCAGCGCACGGCTCTGTCCGGCTCTGAGCATGGCCCCGGCTGGCGCGGGCTGCTCGACTCGTCACGACGCTACCGGTTACCGGCCCGGCTCCGTTGGTACGGCCCGGCTGGGCTCGACTCGTCCGCGCGTAGTTTCCAAGATGACCGCGAGAGCGCAGCAGCGCACGGCGTGCGCGCGCGTGTGTGTGTGTGTGTGTGTGTGTGTGTGTTGTTTGTTTACTTCACGGCTCTCTCGAAATTTCTATGTGTACAATTTAAATTTCAATAAATGTGTGTGTTTTAATGATGTATTTTTTTCCAGGGTCTGTGCGTTTGTGTGTTTTTATTGTATTACCCTGTTAAAATATTGAACATATGTTTTGATGTATAGGTTAGTGTTTTCTGATACTGTCTGATTTTTCTTTCACTTAAAATTATTCATTGTTTTTGCATGACACTAAATAATTTTGCATGTCCAATCTCTTTCTTTTAACTAGGTCTCCAAAATTATGCTATGCTTGTGTCTATTCTTTTGTGTTTAAGTAAAACTAGTTAGGTAAAGTTTCAAGTCTAACCTTTCATGTTGTTTTTGCATGACATATTTTCTTCGATTTTCAAAAACTGACATGATCTTGTTATGCTGTCAAAGCAATTGAATAAAACAGTTCCCTCAAAATTGTGCTACGTTAGTGTCTGTTCCTTTTAAATAAAACTAGTTATCTCCAAGAATCGAGACTTGTTCTGATAAATCTTAGTGGAAAGTTTAACTTGCATGGACAAAAGATTATTGTGATAACACAATGTGTTGTAGTGCACAACACATTACTCTTTGAATTATAGAACCCCCGTCATAGAATCGTGATAGAGCATTTGTATTAACTCATAGACTTTTTTCTGTTACCTCGGAAGTTTTATCATGCATTATCTGTTTGACATTCTGTTATTATTACAATGTAAAATAATTTAACTTGTGAATTGTATCAAAGTAATGTTAGTTTTACCTCGAGAATCGTGTAACTCTGTACATACTTTTAAATCAATAAAGAATTCGAAACGTCCACATGTTTTTCTTTCCTCTACCTTCCAACACTTCACCAGAGAGTTTTCATCAGAGGTTAAAAGACAACACTAGAATAGGATGATCATGATTGGTTTTTTACTGATTTTTTAACAAAAAACATGATTTTACTTAATAAAATATGATGAAAAAGGGAAAAATTAAAAAAAAGCTATTTCCTTGTTCTTTTGATAGCCTCGGCAAGCTGTTTTACTGTCTGAAATAAAAAAACTAAGATTAGTTAATTGTTTTTCAGAAAAAAATAAAAAAAAACTTAGGTTCAAATACAATACTTACCAACTTAGGAACTGAATATGGGTGGGCCTGCCCACGGGCTTGAACTACATGGGCCGGGGGGTGCTGGACCTGGGGTTGCTGGGCCTGGGCCTGAGCTGGGGCCGGGGCCTGGGCTGGGGCTGGGGCCGGGGCCTGGTAGGCCGCGACGGCCGTCGCGGCCGCCCTGGGGTCGAACCCCTGTAGGCTTGGCCGGCCGGGCGGCGTGAGTCGCTCAAACACATTCTGTAACAAGAAGCCTGACTTAGAACCGAGGACGGTTGAGGTCGACATATGATGAAGCTTAACTTACTTTCTTTGCCTTAGGCTCCGGGGCCACCACCGCTATTGGGCGGTGGGCCAGGCGGCGACGGCCCATGGTGAAGGCGGCCTCGGCGGAGGCCTGGGTCGGCTTGGCGGGGTCCTGGACCAGCTTGGCCTTGGCGCGAGGCTGGGCCTTGCCGGAGGCCTGGGTCGGCTCGGCGACCTTGGCCTGCTGGGCCTTGTCGCGGGGCTGGGACTCGGAGGAGGCCTGGGTCGGCTCGGCGACCTTGGCCTGCTGGGCCTTGGCGGAGGCCTGGGTCGGCTCGGCCAAAGTCAGAGGAAACTGAAACAAAGAGAGAATCAGTTAAATATTCAATAATCATCACTAGCCAGCGTCTAGCCCTGCTCTACTCATCCCGTCACATGTCTGCTCCCCGTCCCACAAAATGGGCATGGAGAGGGGGTGGGGCAGGGCGGGCACCTCGTCGGCGGGGCAGTCCGGGGCCTCCTCGGCGTCGCGCTGGGCACAGTGGGCTAGAATTCAAAAAAAGCGGACATAAATCATAACAGTTATTGGGTGCATCGCACATACGATATCGGTATGACCAGGGGGGTTTTCGGGTGCGCTGATTCCATATTTTTAATAATTTTGAACTTTTAGGAGGCGGATCCAGGTCAAAAAGGGGGGGAGTTTTCAAAATCTTACTCAAATCACGTGAAAGTTCGGTTACGGAGGTCTACGGTTGCGCTGATTGTTGCTGAGTTTTTGCTGATTTTTACAAGTTTTTTTCGAATTTTTACGATTTTTTCTCAATTTTTACAATATTCTACGATTTTTTAAATAGGTTGTTGTTTTGATTGTTTTCTGATTTTTTAGGACTCTGCATGATTTTTTAAGGGATTTTTGACACTTTTTCAATGATTTCATACGAGGTGCAGTCGAATAGGCGACCCTATTAGGCCGCGCCACCGCAAAGTCCACCAAAATTCGTCCAAAAACAAGTCTTTTTCTCGCAAGACCGCAAAATACCGCAAAAACCGACTACGGGATTTTGTAAACAAGGTTTCGAACTTCAAGAATCAATTGTCGGTTTCTTTGATTTTTCATGATTTCGTTACTTACGGCCTTTTAAAGTTGGCCCAAATCGCAATCGGGGGAGGGTTTTACTTTTCACTTTTTGGGGGGGTTGGAGGGTAAATAATTGATGGCCTGCACCTGGATATGTTTCGTTGTGTTTAGAACAACACGTCAGCAAACGTGTGGGCGGCTGAAGCTATGAACAACGATAAAAATAGCAATATAAGATGGTGAGGTTAGAGCCGTCCATGCGGGCACCGCAAAATAGCTGATTTCAAAATGATATTTCAAGGTGAAGATTTGCAGCTAAAAATACAAACTAATGCGTTTTGAAATCCTTGAACATTGCGCTACAAGGTCCACTAGTCGTTTTAGCCCAAATCGTAAAAAAATTATCGTACTTTTGTCCGCTTTTTTTGGATTCTAGCCCACTGTGCTGGGCCTCGGCGGGGGGGTCCTCCGCCAGGGCCCGCTTGGCGGCGGGGCCGTCCTCGAGGTCCTCGCCCCACAAGTCCTCCGTGTATGCGGCGGGGACTGGGCGCAGCGGAGGAGAGGCGGGGGCGGCGGCCTCCGGGTCGCAGGACAGCTGTAACAAACCGAGTGTTAATACACTGCGCAATGAGAGCAAGAGCGAAAGCGAGGGAGCGCGAGAGAGCGAGAGAGAGAGAGCAGACCCGCTAAAGCGCGCCAAAACGATTGTGCGCTGCGAGTATTCCCCTCGAGGACGCCAACGGCATCGACGCTGGACAACGGGTGAACTTTTCCGACACTGGCTTTTCCCCAACAGAATCAACGAGAAAACCACACGAAAATGAGCAGAGATAGAAACGATCAATGAATGGCGCGAAGGAGTTGCCGGCCGGCTTGCGCAGGCCTGGGCCAGGCAGGACACGGCACGGCGGAGCACGACAGAGCTCGGTGTGCATTTTCTGTGAACACTTTTCACTGAACACGTTTTCGAACACTGAGTTTTACTAAAGTTTGAACCGGGCCGAGGCCGCGGGCATGCCCTGCGCCTTGGGTGGCACCGACATAACCTCAACTTGGTAAATGAACGGTGTCGATTCAGCTTAATCACTCGCGAAATTCACGGATTTATGAATGAAAGAGCACTCGCGAAACTACAGATCATCACAGGAAAAGCGATTCATAAGTGGATGATAGGCGATTCGTAAGTGGATGACGCAGGCGCACTTTCACTTACCTCGTCATAAAGCAGCCCAGAGGGTTGGAGCTTTAAGGGGCTGAAGGTTGAAGTCTGCGTTGAGTCCTCACTTAAAACCAACGCCTCCATGGTATCTTCTTCCGATAAATACAAATCTTTCAACACAATACGTTCCGACATCGCAAGGACGTAACGGTGACACCAGCGCAAACGACACTGTCTGGAACCCTACTGAGCCGGAGCGGCGCGTCGCGGCGTCCTGCTCCCTTACGCAACGGGAGGGGTGGGGGGTGGGCGGGCCAGGCTTTTCGGCAAGGCGCCGTAGTTATCCGCAGGTAGAGCAGACGACGCTGGTGGTGGGGCGCGGCGCCTCGCGCGCTCCGTAAGCCGGCTCGAGGCGGACCGCGTTGAGTAGGGGTGGGAGAGGGGGGAGGTGGCAGCGCGGACTCGTCGCGCGCGGAGTATCGCCAGCATAGCAGACGTCGCGGGATGTAACACCTTTAGCGTAGTGTGAACGAGTTCAAACAGGTATGCACTGGCGCCGTTAAGCCCCGAATAGTTCCTGAGTCTGTCGTTAGGGGGCGGGTGAGTCGCTAGCGTCGCTCCGTATAAAACACAGGCTGGCGTGCTGGAGAGGTCATTACCGTGCTCCGGCAGTCACAGTTCACATCCATGGCCTCCGAACACACAACACTTTTCGCCTCATGGCTGCAATCAGCTGAGGAGGGACCCACACTGAGGGTGTTGGAGTCAAGTGAAAGGGAGCTCAAGAACTTCAAAACCAAGTTTCGTGAAGAAGTAATACAAGTTGAGGGAATAACTAACGATCAGCTTTCTGAACAGTTGCTGATTGATATGTTTGACACGATTCTTCAACGCCAACGTGATGCTGTCAACGCAAAAGACAGTGACCGTGCCATTATAGAGATACGCTCCATGGATACCCCCCAGACTCCCATCTTGCTTCCAATGAGACGTGTTGATCAAATGAATGGCTATGCAATGGTTTACAAGTTGAAAAATAAGAGGAATTTCGTTTACCCAGGAGGAAAACTGAAAATAAATTATACTCATGTAGAAATTTAAAACTCTTAAAAATAATATCGGTTTTGCATAGGCCTCCAGGGGATAGAATTTACCGCAAAAAAAAAATTCTAACGAGCGTTGCAGCATGCCTCCTGGGCGCGCATGGAAATGCTGCTTATAAAAAAACAATGTCAGGAGTGGGATTCGAACCCACGACCCCCCAAGGGGACCCACTCTTGTCTTCTTAGACCACTCGGCCATCCTGACACCGTGACTATGTAACTCTTCCACCACCCTGGGCGGCTCTGGCGCGCGTGTGGCGGACGCGGCGGACGCGGCGGCCTCGGTGCGCAGGCGGACTCCTCGGCGGCGACCTCGCGGGCGGACGCGTTCTAACCGGTGCGCGGGCCCCGGGCGGCGGGACCCGGACGGACTCCTCGGCGGCGACCT